TGCAAGCAGTTGTTAAAGATACTTTTACTCCACTTGCTCATCGTACCTTCAGATATTACACGTAATTGCATTGTTTGAGTGTTAGTAAGCAGGTTTAGATCGACTAAATTTATTGAGACTGATTGGCTTAACTTTCCACGCAGACCGCGACAATACAATAAAATTTACTCGATGACCCATTTAAAATACTTAGTTTTTCTTTTTATTTATTTATTTATTAAAATTATATAATAATATATTAATTAACATGATTTTTTTGAGTTGCAGGTTTTACTGATAATGTTTATATTGTTAGTTATGTCCGATTCTACTTCTAACGATTTGAATTAAAAATAAGAAGAAGCTGACCCGTAGATGCATGAAGATTCACGGGGTTGTCTCCTTCGTGTAAAATCGGGTTTTCTTCTGTAAGAAGAGGTCTATTACACAACATTGTCTCGGCCTCTTCTAATGACCTAGGTGTTGGCAAGTTTATAAGTTCGAGTTGTAAACGTGATACGTCTGAAGTTGATATTCTTAATGGTGTTATTCGATAAGAATTTGATAACTGACAGGATGAAACGACAGGATTTCTTTCGAAATGATCATTAATTGCAGTAGCCATTCTAGAGTAACGCTTTCGAAAACGAGTAGGGTAATTTTTTAAATTACTCCGGCATCTAGTGGATATGGCACGTAATTCAGTTGGATTATAATTTAATCCACGAGAGTTACAACTAGATATAATTAGTTTATTAATAATACATATCTATTGAGCGTAATTTTCTTGGACCCCTATAGATTTTGATCATTTGATTTCCATATAGAATAGATGCCGTTATGACGTTTATGTCGTTTAAAGTGATATTCATCCTATAGGTTTATTTAGATAATTTTAAATTATTAAAATTTATCGATTGAAGAAACGTAATATATGTAAATATACTGTATTATTGAAATATACTGTAGTGTAGTGTAAAAGTCTTAATTAATCTGTGAAATTTATATTGATATTTGAATTCTAATTCTATGTATACTAAATGCAATTAAATAGGATCAATATATTCTTTACTTTAAAAAAAGCCGAGATAGAAAAGAGAAGATCAAAATGAATGTATAGTATCCGATATCACGTATCTATTGATAAAGAATATATACAATAGAATATTGAGAAATAATATATAATTTTAACTATTTGGAATAAAAACTGTCTTATCTTTGAAAGAAAAGTATGAGATAACCCTTCCGGATTTGGCTGGAATTGTGTAGCCAGTTAAATTTTAATTTTATAATTTTTGATTTATCAAATAATTAAAATATTTTAAATCTCTTATGCATTAATAAATTAAATGAAGTAACCATTCAAAGAAGAAAGAAATTCATTGGTATTAACATTTAAAGAATACCATTCTATTAATAATGTATTTAAAGTCTGGTACTCTATTTCATGCAAGTAATTTCGTTCATAAATAGCTAATTAATAACTCACATTTTTTAATTATAATTATACTTTAAAAATCCAAACCTTTTTTTAGTCAACATTAATTATTCATTGATTATTGACTATTCTATTGCTTCAGATATGAAGATTATCAATTATTTACATCTATGTATAACACGAAATTTTAGTGACTTTTTCTCATACAACTCGTTATATACATCTGTACACAAAAATTGATGACTTTTTCTCACACAACCCGTTATATTTGTATTTTTTTTACTTTGACAGGTTCCATTCGCAACATTCGCAATACTGTGGATTTTTTGCGTTACTTGATACCGGCCTATTATTGACACTAATTTGGATGAAATTAACTATCCTTATTTAGGAATCAAAGGAATTTAAGAATTAAGGTTATTTTACTTGTTACTATTACATAATATTTTAGAATATCTGTACTTGGTTTTAGAATAGAGAGATGGTTACGTAATATCTAACCCCAACTGTGTAACTGTATCTGAACTATACTTATATTTCAAGTTTTATGTATAACATTAACCTTATAAATTTTAGAATGAATTATATAAAAATAATCTAAACAACTAATATCTGAAAATTAATTTATTAATTAATTGAACTAATCGAAGTCTAAAGATTATTCTTCGGAAAAGCAAACCGGAGCATCTAAAAATCTCTTGTAGCATAGAAAAAGTTGTGTTAGGGAAATTAATTTATTTTGAATTTGTTTGCATACACAAAGCGGGATGATAGGGATTGTGTTACGTTCATTTGAATTTATTTTAATTATTTATTTAAGTTTTTAATAAATTATTTTATTGCAAAAATAATGGATAAAATATTTTCCATTTGATTTATTGGTTATTGTTATGGTTGAACCTCCAAACTCAAGTTGTATCCCTGAAGATTTTGGATTATTGCATTACTTCTACACTTTTTTTTTTCGGATATTCATAATCTATTTGTTCGATCAGAATTTGCAAGGCTTGATGATTCGCCCCTAGTAAAGATTGCGGTTAGCAAAATATTCATGTAATCCACTATTACTACTTACCCGAGCAATATATCAACATTTGGAATATTATCGTAGGTTCTATCAATAATAGGACCCTAGACATTGATGTTATATCAAGCTTCGTGATGGTCCACTTGGATTACATTCATATTGGCGTAAGCTGCAAATAAATATAATCTTGCACTGAACAATAATTCATGTGATAAAATGGTTAAAATCTTTAGAATGTGTCCTTAGATAAAAAAAAAATAAAAGATACAATTCATTTATTTTTATTGATAACACAATTTAATAAATTTAATGGGAATATATTTATATTTTTTAATTCAAGGAATTCTTGAAAAATCAATATCTAATAGTTTTTTTATTTGTATATCTTTTCTATAAAAACTCAAGCAATATTAGAATAAAAAGATTATTTTAAAATTTATTCAATAAATTAAGTTCAATCTCGATCATCACTGAATTTCATCATTTGTTAATATTTATTTATTTTAAAAGTCATTAAAAATTCTAGCAAATAGATAAAATACCATACCACCATCAGTTAGTTTTGTTATTAAATAAAATAAAACATAAAATTATGTTAATTTAATTCATACAAATATGATATTCTATACTTAATGTGAAGACTTTATAAATATAAATTATCTCTTGACTCCAAACTAAATTAATCGAATTTATACAAATTCCTTTTTGATAACATGATAACATTTATTATATTTTAAAAATCTTCAATATCATCATCTAAATAAAATAAAAATAAATTAAATAAATATAATTAATTATGAAAAATGAATATATAATTGATAATTACTAGTGATTATGTGGGAAAAGGATTCTGTTAGTTCTTCAAGTTCTTTTTCAAAATTAGGTTCATTTACAGGTTTCGGAAGATTAGTCTACTGGTATAAATTGCTTGTGGATGTGTTTTATAATTAAGTGGAGTTTTAGTTGTGGTATTAGATATTTCTTGATTATTAGAAAATTAATCAGCCTCTTTAATTTGAATTGCAATTATATCAGTATTGTATATATAATCATCACGATATTTAATCAATTCTTTATATAATTCTTCAAAAGTGGGTCGATGGGTAACTCGAGCATAATCACTTGTGTAATTAATTTGGGAGTATGAAATCGAATTTTTGGTCGTAATCCATTACATATTTAACCCTTCATCATGTGGTACATCAGAATGTGGTTGAAAACCACTAATAATTTCATAAGCAACAAATGCAAATGAATAAACATCAGCAGCTTTTGTATAATCCTCCCAATTAATACTTCAGGTGCTATATAGGGTAATACTCCAGAAATGGTATTCTTTTGGAGATTTTTTATGTTTGCTGTAATTAATTTACTCAATCAAAAATCTGATATACAGTATACATATAAATATTTTCCAAATTATATTTTAAAATATTTACAGGATGAAAATCACGATAAACTATATCTAATTTATGAATTTTTGAAAATTTATAAGCTAAATCTTTTAAATGTTCTAATTTATTTTGCCAATTGATATTATTAAAATAATCATTTAAATAATTTCTAAGACTTCCACCTTTATAATAAAGTAAAACCATCATATATTCGTGAGTTTCTGGATCTATTGTAATCCCATAAAGATAGGTTGATGTTGTTCCATCATTA